CTGGTCAATAACCAGAGCCCTATAGTTGACCTGGTCAATAACCAGAGCCCCATGGTTGCCCTGGTCAATAACCAGAGCCCTTTAGTTGACCTGGTCAATAACCAGAGCCCTATAGTTGACCTGGTCAATAACCAGAGCCCCATGGTTGACCTGGTCAATAACCAGAGCCCTTTAGTTGACCTGGTCAATAACCAGAGCCCTTTAGTTGACCTGGTCAATAACCAGAGCCCTATAGTTGACATGGTCAATAACCAGGGCCCCATGGTTGACCTGGTCAGTACCGGGGCCCTTTAATTGACCTGGTCAATAACCAGGGCCCTATGATTGACCTGGTCAATAACCAGAGCCCCATGGTTGACCTGGTCAATAACCAGAGCCCCATGGTTGACCTGGTCAATAACCAGAGCCCCATGGTTGACCTGGTCAATAACCAGAGCCCTATAGTTGACCTGGTCAATAACCAGAGCCCCATGGTCGACCTGGTCAATAACCAGAGCCCTTTAGTTGACCTGGTCAATAACCAGAGCCCTTTAGTTGACCTGGTCAATAACCAGAGCCCTATAGTTGACATGGTCAATAACCAGGGCCCCATGGTTGACCTGGTCAATACCGGGGCCCTTTAATTGACCTGGTCAATAACCAGGGCCCTATGATTGACCTGGTCAATAACCAGAGCCCCATGGTTGACCTGGTCAATAACCAGAGCCCCATGGTTGACCTGGTCAATAACCAGAGCCCCATGGTTGACCTGGTCAATAACCAGAGCCCTATAGTTGACCTGGTCAAAAACCAGAGCCCCATGGTTGACCTGGTCAATAACCAGAGCCCCATGGTTGACCTGGTCAATAACCAGAGCCCCATGGTTGACCTGGTCAATAACCAGAGCCCCATGGTTGACCTGGTCAATAACCAGAGCCCTATAGTTGACCTGGTCAATAACCAGAGCCCTATAGTTGACCTGGTCAATAACCAGAGCCCTATAGTTGACCTGGTCAATAACCAGAGCCCTATAGTTGACCTGGTCAATAACCAGGGCCCAGGAAGAAGGCTCAGTTATAACTTACATTAGTATTCAGAACCAAACAAAGCTTGAGACTGCGTCATAAGCTTCTCATACAAAAATTAGCCATAAAGCTGGAGCCAGAGACCAGGATATATAAGACCCAAAGACCAGGATATACAAGACCCAAAGACCAGGATATACAAGACCCAAAGACCAGGATATACAAGACCCAAAGACCATGATATACAAGACTCAAAGACCAGGATATACAAGACCCAAAGACCAGGATATACAAGACCCAAAGACAAGGATATACAAGACCCAAAGACCAGGATATACAAGACCCAAAGACCAGGATATACAAGACCCAAAGACCAGGAAATACAAGACCCAAAGACCAGGATATACAAGACCCAAAGACCAGGATATACAAGACCCAAAGACCAGGATATACAAGACCCAAAGACCAGGATATACAAGACTCAAAGACCAGGATATACAAGACCCAAAGACCAGGATATACAAGACCCAAAGACCAGGATATATAAGACCCAAAGACCATGATATATAAGACTCAAAGACCAGGATATATAAGACCCAAAAACCAGGATATATAAGACCCAAAGACCAGGATATATAAGACCCAAAGACCAGAATATATAAGA